CCATCGCAAAGCCCACCTTCCAAAAGGACACCCGGCAACCGCGTGCACCACCAAGGCATCGCCCAGGCTCACCCTAGGAAGCATGTTTCAATGGATCTGCGATGCCTTGAGCCTCGAAGCGTACCTCATCCATTCTCGCATGCGTCATGTCCGCTCACTTACAAAAAAAAATTCACTTCCATCATGTCCGCCTCCATCGCTGATTAACGGTGGACGCTTGATCGCAAGGAGTTGGGGATTGCGGATTGCGGATTGCGGATTGCGGATTGCGGACTGTGGATCAATTCACGAAGAATAGTTTGGGACGATTGTTGTCTGCCATGATTAGTCGACCAGGGTGACAGTGGGCAATGGCTGATATGGTTACGTTGCTAGTACTATATAGCCAACCCTCCGCCACTTAAGAGGACTGTTAGCGGCAGCTGAAAATCTACGTCGGCTGCGAGTCATCAGTCTCAATTGACTCTATCGCCTGTATCTGCGTCGGCGTCTCGGTTCTTCCGGCGGAGGAGCGTTTGCGTGAGCGACCGCGCGTAGTCTCGCGACAACGCTTTGCCGGGTTAACGGAATCTTCGTCCTCCTCTTCATCCGTCTCTTCTTTCCTTGTGCGTTTGCCTTTCTTTGTGAGGAATGGGCCTTTCTTGGTGGGCTCAATGGTAGATTGAGAGAACCGGCTTGCGGTGCTGAGCCGGCTGGCGTTTCTTCGAGCGTGACCGTGTTTGTAATTCCTAAGCTCTTTCACCACGGCCTGGATGGTGGATGCCGACCTTGCGTCGTCAATCGAGAAGTCCTCGGAATTTTTGGTGGCGAGAATGACCGCACTCAAATCTTCTCCTAGCAGATCTTCGTTCCAGAGGGCTTCGTCCTTGTCGAGGTGGCCCCGCACATAACCTTTGATTTCATTTCGTTCCCCGGCGGGAAAGAAGATCGGCCACATCATTTCGTCTATAGCCTCTCGGGGAAGCTTGCCATCCATCTCGACATTTGGCAATGCAAAGCATTGCTGAGAATCCTCATTTCCTCTTGCAGTTCAATGGCTTCTTCCCTGGCCTTTCTAAGCAGTTACCATTTTGTCGCTAATAGCGCCATCGATACACTTCTTAGCTTCCGTGCTTGCCATTGTGATGGATATCGAAAGCGCCACTTCTACCTGAACAAGCTCGGGACCGGGGCGCGTAGGCATGCTTGATCTACTTGAGAAGGTCTGTACGCCCCAGCTGGTCAAGAACGTAGCAAGTGCCTCGACAGATGTGCCTAGTGATGGTAGGAGATCGCGTAGTCGGATTCGAAACATGTATAGATTCGTGGGACATTCAACTTTGACCTATAGCCTACCCTTCGTGAACTGTTTACAAGGCACCAAAAGGTTCGACAGGTCGCTACACGTACGTGAGGTAAGCAGACACCTGAAAGAGTTAGGACGTCCAGGGTTTGCTTACTGGACTGGATGCTTTCTCCTGAACTTGGGTTGCTTGGATACTTGATGAGCTCGAGGCATTCTAGTGTCACCGCTGACACGCGCGGTTTCTATGGGAGTTGAATGATTGGTAGCATATCTACTGCAGCGGAGGACGGACTAGTGGATGGACCAGTAAAAGAGGATGCGGAAGGCATAGTCGAATGTCTAACGGCGGTCAGATACTCTGGCGTCCGATGTTCTGAGCTGGTCAGCTTGAGTTCATGAATGGCAGGACGATTTCGACTATATCATGCGCCCGGAAAGTTGTCGCCTCCTTTCCCCCCTCCCCTACCCCCGGGGCAAATTGAATAAAAAAAATCAATCACGGATATGAGAAACTTGATAGGCTTACTGTCAAATTTTTAACAGCTTAGACGGGCAGCCTATTAAGTCTCCCGTATACGTGATTGAAATCTTTTCATCTAATGTTGTTGTTGGAGAGGAGGAGGGGGGGGGGGTGTTGGGTTCAACATCTTTTCAGGCAAACTGATACCTCTTGCTCTTACGGGATAAATTTCATTTAACAATCTGCAACGTGCTCATCGTCGCTAGACAGTACTAATCTTAACAGACATACGACCCTAACACCTATCTGGATGAGCTTTTCCTACTTGTTACCTCTGCATCTAGTTGTACACTTCAGGAATTTTAGACGGGCTCTAGGCAAGTCTCCTATGAGCCACTAATCCCGCCGTAGCTGAGTAAGCATTAAGTGCATCTTCTTTAAAAAGGTACCTATAATATTTTGCTAAATACTCCAAGGTCTTCGTTGTCGCTCACTGGTTAGAAGGCATCGTTCTAACAAAAAACCTTGTGCGAGAAGGCGCCCTGAATAATAAGCTGCAACAATTGTGTACCTGAATTAGCTTACTTTAGCGAAATATGTACTATAGTTTCTATTGTAATGCCATCGTCTAAACGCGATGTTAGTACGTGAAACAGCTCACGAGGTCGCCGCCTACCGGGCTAAATGAGACGCACTGTATGCATGCGATTTTCATCCCCTTGGTGATCTTAATACTACGGCCATACGTCTAAGTAAGGAACGGCTCCCTCTACAGCAGCTCTAGCAATATTTCTTATAAGCCAAGATGGCGATACTAGCTGGAAGACGACAGTTACAATCTGGAAGCGGAACTTTAAAGCCGCGTTAAGGATCTCCTAAAGGAGCGCTAAAAATAAATTGAGAGTAATGAAGCAGCTAATGGACATCTACGATCCGCTTTGTTCTGAATTGCAGGAGCTTAAGGAGAATGATGCGATCCCTAAGAACACCTGGATCCCACGTGGCTACTCTACCTAGAGGGCCAGTTTGTACGCAAGTAAGATGTGCTGTCCATAGTTACTTTATAGGGATGGCTAACTATAAATTTGCAGATCTGGTTGCGACATATTACCTTTTAGAGTTGTTAGCAGAGCTTACCAACTATCTAAGCTATTGGAAAACTATCTACGCTTCAACTCGTTAAGAAATTAGGAAAGACTAAAAGGTAGTACGGCTACGTAAAGCGCAAGCGGTGCTAGAAACTATCAAGACTAAAGCAGCACAACACTTACCCGTTCAGGGTTACGAACCCGCCTAGATATATGGTATTAGGGGACTAGACCTGGCAGCCTCAACTAGCGCGGTAGTAAACACAATGCTTGATAAAAGGGACAATGGTGAGGATAGCGAAGGTGATAATGGTGGGGTGGACGAAGACGTTGTTAATGTATGTTGGCGATACTTGCTTGTAGAAATACTAGCTAACTCTAGGCAGACCTACGAAGACCGCAGGGACGGCTACGCGGAACCAGATGCCTGACAGACCTTCCTGATCAAGTAGAGATTTTATGTAGACTGTAACGACGAAGAAGCTAATACTAACAGCCCGGGGAAGCGAATACCCGGAATAATTCTCTTTGTATGTGAGTAGATAAGGTGAGTTCAAAGCCCAGCCCGCTGCAACTTTAGTCCAATTGCAAAGCTAATCTTTGAGTTAGCCTAACTTTGAAGTCTCGAACTCTGGGTTTACTTGTCTGCTATGTGCGGTAGATCCTACCATAACTGAAAAGGAGCACACCATGGTGTTTTCGCTAGCAAATTTGAACATCCACTTTAAGACTAGTAATCTATACCATACACCCACACTGGCGTCGCCCAAATCCACCAAGCACGGAAGCAGTCAAGCATCGCTAAGGGAACGGATGAGCTGCCGTGTCCTACCTGCGGCTTTGTGACCAAGGGACTGCCCGCATTTGTAAAGCATTTAGAAATGTTCCGCGAGGAGGAACTATATATGGAAGGACAAAAGGGATGGCGAGGAGGAGAGCGATGTGTGGAATGATGATGATGATGACGATGATGACGATAATATGGGTAAAGACGAAGAGGGTGACGACGGGGATTAGCTCGATGCAGCTCCGGCTCATGTCGGCAAGGGCAAACAGGCCGTTTGTTAGACTATCGTATACACTAGCAAGCTATACCCATCTTTGATGTAGCCCCTAACCAACCTGCTCTTCACATGCATTCAATTTCCCACGCATATGCATTGTTAAACTCATGACCAGCCCTTCTTTCTTTGATTATATTGCTATATGAAATGAGTACATTTTGAAGGTTGTAAAAGATGCTGTAAAGGGTCTCTCCCTCTGGATGGGATAACGAGCCCCGATGTTCCTCGTACTTTAACCGCTCGTCTTGTCCACTCCGCATTACTGGCTGTGGGCCAACAAGGGCGAAGAATAAAAGGTATAACCATATGGCGAGACACTTCACTATGCTTGAGCTAGTGAGGCCACTTCGCACGTGGTCTACGAGCAGCTCGTAGAGGTTATTATTGAATTCAACACTTTATCAGACAGCTACTATGCAGTTAATTTCTTGGGGCTCGTTTAAAGGAGAGAGAGATGTAACCAACAAGTATTTTATTCCCAGCTCGATTTCGCAACTGGTAGCCATATGAGTCGTGGACCTTGAACTACAGGATTTGTTCGTTTCGGGAGACACATTCGCATGCGAAGCCGCATCCTGCGCGGAGCGAGTAACTGAAAGGGTTCTACGAGTGTGAGCTAACTAACGCGTCACATCCGCCGCCCTGACGGCGCTGCTCGGGGCCTATTTGCAACGTTAAATCTTCTGGAATTGAAAGACGACATATCTACCAAGATGTGTGGTGATAACTTCTAAGCAAGATTGTAAATACTGGCTGGACGGCCTGCGTCACCCCTCTTGCGGTAGGCAACTCTCAGGAAATTAGAAGTCTGTATAGGGGGTCCTGATTGCTCTTACATCCCTAAGAGACATAAATTTTATTAATATTGTACCCCTTTAGTAGAGTTCAGGTGGTTTGGCGTATTTCCCGAAATTCGTTTACCGCAAGAGGTTACCTTCTTTCCTACCCCACTTCGTCCGTGCAGAATTTTGCAACTACCTCTCTCTCGCTAACTTTGAACGTACGCTTCGACATGCAAGCAAAAGATTAATGCTAATCGTACATTCGCTTTTTTTATATACTATATATAATATATGCGGCTCAAAACTTTCACAACTCAACCAGCATCGGTGGTTTAGTGGTAAAATTAGCCGTTGCCAATGAAAAAAACAATCGGCTAGCCCCGGGTTCGATTCCCGGCCGATGCATTATCAATGAATTTTCTTTTTGATTCTGTTTTCGTAGATGTGGTCGTTGGTTTAGCTTGCGCATGGATTGCGTTGTGGCGGAAGGCTTGGCAACTACAACCACTACGGTGCAACACCAATAACCCCATCAACATCAGTAGTGTACCTGCAGCGAATTGTTACCATCGGGCAGCGATTTAATAATCGTGCTTTTTGTCATTTTCTTCATTGAAATCCGTCCTGTTTTGCAGACTCTGCTAAGCAGCTTCTATTTATCGCACATAACCCTTGGGAAGGTCGTACAATCCAATTTCACGAGCTCTACGTCTCAGCCTCTACGCTATTTACCACCTCTCGTACATCCACTGTGCTTACCTTTCCATCCACTTGCTCCATAACTCCTGCCATGAAAAATCTACCCGAAATAGCTTTGGAGGTTTCGGCCGATCTCGCGTCGAGTACCATAAAATCAGAGCTTTCATTCGTCGAGATTTCAATCGTTTATTTGCGTAGTGGCGCGGGTGGCACAGTGCACCGTTCAGGTGAGCGGACACACTCACACCACCATCGCGTCGGGCCAATCGACCTCGGCATACCATCAGCGCCCGCCATGCATTTGGTAGGACTCCCGAAATGTCTTGCTCCAAAGGGAGCAGCGGCGGATCATACCACAGTCGCGTCCTGCTTCGTCTATTTTTTGCCGCCACCTGTCCATTTTTTGTATCTAGGTCTTGCGATGGCAGCCCCAAAAGTCTTCCGGGCCTCGTATACTACAGCCCTCTCGTCACCGCTTGTTGGTAGCAGCCTCCCAATCGAAGGCTATGCTTTCCGCGATCAGTTTGGTGAGCATCTTACCATGGGCTAGGTGCCAGCTGGATGCGACTGTTACCATCGTTAGGTTTCATGTCAAGCAACCTGTTGTCACGGTATAGGGCTTGCTCAACCTCGAATCTCTACCACTTGAGGTACTTAAAAGCCAGTGGTCGCCGGAACACCGCATGTTTGGTAACAATCGTCACCCAAGCACTCTTCTAAACTACAACCTATACATATTCAGATCGAGGCTCACCCTCTTCCTGCCGACATGAAGCCCGCAACCTTCATCCTGCTCGCCGACCCTCAAATTGGTTGGCAAAATATTCCGCGAGAAAAATTGAGCTCCCTCAATGGTGCGCTCAACAGAATCAGTAGCGTAGAGTACACCAATGACCCATCTCACAACATCAACATCACCTGCTCTGGACCCATTGGGAAACCCGATGCCGTCTTCTTTGCCGGAGACCTCACGAACTATGGCGGCAACCTCAATTGGCCGGAATGGGCCGATGTTGAGAAGGCGGATGCGTCTAACTATGAGGGTGGAGAGCTTCTCAAGGAATTCCGAGCTTTATACGACCCGAAGTGGGCAGGCTTGGCGGTCACTCCGCTCAATGAAAGTGGACCGCTTTACTTTGGACTAGGAAACCACGGTATGTTTTAATTCTCTGTGCCGATACAGACTCATAAGTACTTATGCTAGAAAGATATCAGTTTTAACAATACGGTTGATGAGGCTTGGTATGCCCCGTTATTTGTTTGGCGCGACTTCGAGGGCAACGGAATGACGGATTACACCGACTATTACCGGTATCAAATGTGGAACTTCATAAACCAAATGCATACAGGTAACGTTGGTCCAGATGATGATCTCCAATTCCGGTAGACAAGCGCTGACTGCTTTCTTCAATGTAGGGTTTCACAGGGACTTGCACGGGCGGCCTGTCGCTACAGACCCACCCTTTCCCATACCTGCCAACAGTATTGATTCCGATCCAGATGGTACCTTTTATTACCAGGACCACTCATTCAACTACGTCGTAGACCTTGGCCCCGTGGATGTATACCAGCTGCATCTTTTTGGCGGCGATGTCGCGCACGAACGGAGAAGCGGTCTCGATTGGCTAAAACGCAAGCTCGCAGCTAGAGGCTACACCCGGCCCGTGTTCATTGTGCAACATCTTCCGATGGGATACCCGGACGGGGATTACTGGAATGATTCAGCTCGCGATCAATTTTTAGAAATTCTCCGTCCCTACAACGTACTCGGAGTAGGCGTGGGACACGATCACTACCAAGCCAAAATCAAAGAAATTCGACCCAGCTCGAGCACCTCTGGTGTCGAGAACGACCAGCATATCTACCAGGTACAGCCAGGTCCTGCTTTCGAAAGAAAATTTGGCATTATTCGAGTAGAGGAGTCTCCTACCGAAGATGAGATCATCACGAATATCTTATACGGGAACGTGGATTCCAGTACGTCGGAAGTCGTCTTGACAGCGGGCTGGAATATCCGGACCCCAAATATGGAGCTATATGTGAAGGATATCGAGGTGCGTAACAACATGCATCGACGTGGTTGCACACCCATATACTGAACACTCTCCAGGTCATCTACCTAGATAAACCTGCCGATGACCGCTCATCCACTTTGCCTTGGTACGTGATAGAGGAGGGCGGAGAATCTGCAAACATCAACGAGGGATTCGGAGGAACGTAAGTACTTCCCACGTTCAATATTCCATCGGTTTAGTAACGGAAGTAGGTTCGTCTATATCAAACCGATTCTGACCGATAATGCCACCGATGCTGCTACTGGCTTTGATCTCTTAGTCCAAGACGACGCGTATAGCGGGCCGCATGCAGGCGTCCGAGACCTCGCTGACGGAACGGACGGCAAGCGTCGGTATTTAGTACCGAAGCAAGAATGCGACAAGCCACCGATGAAGCAGCTGTTTCTCTGGAGATCAGATTGTCAGCAGGCACCTAGAATCGGATGGGAGTTGACGTCTGATATTAATGAAGGCAGAGGAAGTCCCCTGTATTTGGAATGGGAAACATCTTGAGATATGAGGCTGCGATTGTAGAGGTGGAATCGGATTTGAAGATACCCACCGGACCAGATCTATGATTTCTAGTATATCTTAATGAGACCTGACGAATTCTGACTGGATGCAACTTGCAAATGCATAGACAACATGACGAGCACACAGAAGACAGTTTGAAACAAGACAAGTCTCTGCGGTACAGAAGACAGTTCGAGATGAGACAAGACTCTGCGGTACAGAGGTGATTGCATTGTGCTGGACGGTTGTCAATATCCATTAACAGGGCAAGCTCGTAAGTCTAAAAATGCTGCAGTCAAAACGTTGGATTCAATTCTCCGCGAGTATGCAATATGTGCAAGACAATAAGATATATGCAACAGGTACGAAAAAGGTCTGTAAGGCATCCTACCTAAGCACAGCTCGAAACATTTTTGCCACATTCAACTAAGAGGACGATGCAGTTGACACGATCATTGACCTACATCTTGGACGTTGGCCCTACCAACACCGTCTTCGGGTATGTTCCAACGCTCTAAATCCCCTTCCCTTCCTCACCATGTGCTAGTGGCCACGTACGGTATAACTTCATCTTTGTCATTCTCTTTACCTGCTGGCCTGCCGAAGCCTTCTGTGACCGTTTCACAGCCGCGCGATAAGCATCGCATTCGTGCAAGTGCCACGGCGACCTTACTACCCTGCCCGTCACCATCAGTATAACCACGGTACAGAATTATATCGCCTGTATCCTTCCCATATTCATGGTCCTGAAATTGTGGCTTCCACTTCCGTAGAAAATCGGCTTGATCGCCATCTTCGGCTTGGGCTTGGTGTAAGTTTACGCGTATCCCTACGACTCTACAGCAAGGTTGCTGAACACATGGTTAGGACGTGTGCTGTTGGCTGTACCCGCATCTACTTCGCCTACGAGCAGTTCACTCACCAGCACTCGCCGACCTGGGACGTCACCTTGGACGTCACCTGGGAAGCTCTCGGAGCATGGGTTGCCACTTTGGTAGAAGCTAATCTTGCCGTGATATGTTCGCCTGTTCCCGCGGTGAGGATGCATTGCAAGTGCCTTGGCCCCACGACGAGTCCGAACCGTAGTTTTGGATGGTATTACCAAGGGTCGAGGTCGGGTTCACGTGACCATCTACGGATATAACGTCTGCGTGGCGGTGTTGTTTAAGATAGCCTGGAGTGCGCAGCAGTACTAGGTTTAAGGCGTCGTATGCATTGTATATTGCCAGCGTGAAGGACGTCTATGTAAAAATATAAATTTTTTTT